CCCCCCCCCCCCCATCACAAAATGCTAGTTCGGAGAAACAAGCGCTCGGATGAGAGCAGAAGTGAAGTCAAGGTCACTGCGCTTTTGTCAGGTTGTCTCGTAGAACGGCTGCAAAGTGTTCTTGAAAAAGTGGCGTTTGAGCGATGACTGCAGAGCATCTCTCTGGTTGATATTTACGGCGGCCGGCTAGTTCCCAATGCAGATACTGTTTCTCGTAGAATCACGACTGAATGACCCGTTGCAAGGTCAGGGTCGTATGCTATGCTCTTCCTCGAGGGCAAGTTTGGCATACGAACCTAAGAAGCGTCGATTTCTATCTCTTTTTCTGGACTGTGAGACAGTAACTGTTTTTTTTAAGTTGGGCTTTTTTGTGTCCTGTGGTAACCTGAGAAATGCCTAGATTGCCAAAGAAGCTCTCTATCCAGTGTTATAGTCTGGCTGTTTAGGAGACGGTCAAGACAATCTAGTTTGCCGCTCCGTCAATGGACGCAGCGTTTCGACTTGCTTGGTCCTTCAAGCAGAACTCGATTTCATGTAAACTACGACATTTTAGACATTGACTATTTTGGTTATAAATTGTCTGTTGTCGTCATTTACCACCTAGAAACATCGTCAGTTGCGGGTCCGTGGGGAAGTCGCACGCGACACCCGCCAGCGCGACGAATTGCGATTTGTTGTCGCATACCCATGGGATATCCTTCGTCAAAACAAATCTTGCTCGCTTCCATTACAGCACGCTTTTCGATACATCATATCCCGCAATGAACGAGATTGCAAGTTCATGTATCAGGATGCACACAGTATCCCCGGAAATTGCGCGTGAACTCAAAAATGACTCTAACCTTTCCCCAAGCTCGCTTCACGCCGCGCAGGGGAATTAAGCTCGGGAAAGGGGTTGCCACCTGGGCAGCGACCTGCCCGACCAAGGAGGTGTTCATGCGCGCGGCCGCGTTACCGTAAACCACGCAATGAGTCCGGATCGACCAGCAGTACCGCGGGCCGTTGGGTGTACTCGCGACAAACAGAATTACTTTACTTCTCGGGGGTACTGTATGCTCCTGATTTCCTGGAGCCTGTCAAGTTCTAGTAATGAGGTGAACCTTCCCCTCATTCCTTATTTATGATTGGAAGGTGGAGAACATCGCCGTGATATATAGAACTTCGCAGCAAATGGTTAGATGGGAATCGGTTGATTCCGCGTTTTAGGAAAATCCGCTATTGGGTACAATCGGTTCCAGTCGATTACTATCTAATACTTTACCCGATTCTATGGAAACGCATATCCTCCTGAATCGTGGATTCTCCGCATTTTCGCGAAGTGTGGACGCGACTTGGCTGATTCCCTGAGCGAAGGAGTGCTGCTAGGTGTTCCGAACATTTTTATCGTCTCATGAATTTGTTGCCATTAATATATTCAGGGTTTACAGCATTCAGTGGCAGAAGGTATTGAAAGTAAAATTAGATACGGGAAGCGGGATAACGAGAGAAGTATTCTCTGAACTAAAAGCAAATCTATTTTTCTCCTTGCTTCCTAGCTGTTGTCAAGACGGACTGTTTTCGAATTTTTTGAAAATTCTCCTTGAGAGGGTTTTATTTGGCTTTCTTAAAGGGACTGTCTGATTTATGGTCGATTAAGTTGCACATAGAGGCCAAGCGTATCCGTTATTCGTCGTTATCCCATCAATAGCGCGCTTGCTACGATCATCACCATATCTAGTTCGCACCACATCGCGCCGAAGTTTCGCTTTCGCTACGCTGCTAGGTCGCATTCTGTCAGTCTATGTTTTCATTTGGTCGCGTCTGTCGCGCCTACTTACTGACGGTTTAGCCGCCAGTTTTTACCCAACTGTTTGTTGTAATATTATTCGTCGTGTATAATGTCCATCTATTCGGTACTCATTACAATACGTGTCTATTATTCATTTTGGGAACGTTTTTATTGATTTCGGACTTTCGTACGAGTTCATATATCGTTTTTATCTCACCCAGAAGTTTAAGTCCTCTCTTTTCGTTGTCACAAGCATGCTGAGTCATGGGCGAAACACTTAGCTCGAGCCAGGAATTGAACCTGGATGTCATTCTCACCGTGGAGGGCGCATTTTGCCTCCATTTTCTCTTTATTTGGCTTTCTATAGCCCATACACTACCAGAAGCATCGCCTATTCTGTTCCGAGGAGCCTGCTCTGACGGAGGTGGTGTAATGGCAAGTAACACACTTACCACGCGCGCGGTCCAGGGATCAAATCCCGGCTCGACCCCAGCTTTATCAATGGCGAACACTTGATACCTGTTCTTATCATTACCATCTGTTTTATTGGAGTAATAACACACGAATTTACTTCTGGTGACTTGACAGAATCCGTAGGGGAAAGCGATGCGAAGACATTTTATGTACTAAATTATTTTCATTTTATTTTTGTTGATTTAGACTTTTTATTGATTTATACTAAGATTTTCATTTATTTATTTCTTTGTTATGAAACATCACTCAACACGTTCGAACGGATGCTGTCTTGCGCAATTTCCAATTTGTTCTCCCAAATAAGGTATAAGTTGCTGGAAAACAGGCCGGGATAGTTCAATAGCCTCGAAAATAGCGGTAACTTGGACGTGTAGGTTTCGTGAATGCACAGGTTGGGCATACCCTGAGCCGGTTCAGTTACCCATGTTTATTAGCCTTTGTTTAGCCGCTTTTTGAATTAGAGCGAGGAAGTAAAACAACGTAATTCCAGCTCTGTCACGCTGGCAGCAGACTGTCTAGGCGAAACTGTGTGGTGTTATGTGACTCGCTGCTCCTATGGGCTTTCGTTTTACGGGCAGTTTGGCGTACTATCGCCTGGTTTTCTATTATTAAAGCTGAGATCTATCCCCAACGCAGCCGTATAGTATCCATACATAGTTCGTATGGGCTGCAGACAATGTTTCCTGGCCTGTCTATATACAGTGCAGCCGTTCGGGCAGTGTATATACCTAATTTAGCGCGCAAAGAAAGTAATTGGTTCCAAACATACCTCAAGTCAAACCGTTGTTGCTCAGGAGATCCGAGCAGCGCTATCGCGCATAATCAGCTGATATTCCTAGCTGGTTGACTAAACACAACACTTCCGCTTCGAATCTCAAATGCAGAGTGGGTCTTGGCGGGTTCCTATTATCGTTTTTTGAATCTTTATAAAACTAAAGCTCAATCATAAAATTTGAAACTGTTTAAATGCTTTCTTCCAGCTTTGCAATTGTTGACTAATGCATAAAATCTTTTTTAGCTAAGGTCGTCTAGAGAATTGTGAAACTAGTTTATTCATGTTGCGATGTAGATGACTTGAACTGGTATAAGTGCGAAGCAATGATTAACCAGTATGATGTGAACGGCCAAAGGGATTACGCCGATTCAACACGTGACGGAAACGAACTCTGGATTGCGCCCCATGCCGCGACTGCGATGCCCTAATTGTACAGCCGTCAGCAACCCAATTGTTTCATCCGTTAGTTTCTGCCGAGAGAACGCCTTCGAATTTCCCCCTCGCGAAAAATTAGTCCTTGTTTACAGAGCGATCTCTAAGCGTGAAGCAAGATGGAAGATGAAAACGAAGTCGGACTACCCGCGAAGGGTATCAGTATGATTATCAAAGAAGTACTGCCGGATATGCGAATCGCGAATGAATCTCGTGAACTGTTCGCTGCGTGTTGTGTGGAGTTCGTGAAATATGTGGCAAGAGGAGCTCAGCATGTTAGCGGACACGATCAACGGAAAACCATCTATCACGAACATGTTCTGAAGGCGTTACAACTGCTGCAGTTCCCTCCAGATTACGCCGAGGCTGCCGACAGTGTGCTCGGCGAGTGTAAGGTCAGCTTATCGGGATTTTCTGGTAAAATGATAGAACGAGCAGTTACTGCACCTCTAACCACCTCAGGTCAAGTATTCTGTGATTCTGCCCCTTTGCAGTTTATAAAAAGAACCTGAGAAACTGGGACAGGTTGTCCTCAGAGAGCGTTGTTCCCCATTTTTCAGTTCACTTCGAGTTCGCGATACTAGCCGTCATTAAGCGCTAGTTTTGCGCTGACCTTGTCGCGATTGCATGCAGTTGCACGCGCAATAATCTCCTTTGGAATGATGTTGGGGGTTTGAATGCCCTTGACTACACTACTGTGGTAAATTACCGGGAGCTGGAAATCGATGAAATATTATGGGTACAGATCCAAGGAGAAGTTGCGCTTTAGCAACAATGCGCGACTGCGCCAAGAGAAATGCTAGGCGCGCCGAGCTAGTTTCTACCCATGGATCCCAGGGCCTGCCCCATCCCTTTACCCTTATGTGTATTATTTTCAGCGGTCTTTTGGCAATCCACCAGCGCCCGCGCTAGAAATATTCGGAGTCATTTGCGTCCAGTAATTTTCTTGGTAGGCAAATCGCGAGTGCCTCTTTTTACCTTACCTACTGCCTAGATGCGATTCTGCCTCTCAAATGTTTTAGAAACGCCCTTCCTCTTTTGCGCAATTCTCCCCTTTCCTTTTCAGAGCTTCACCTCTTTACATTCATTTCTCCAGCGCTGTTCCGTCAAAATGCGGCGTCGTGAGACCACGTTCATACTTTGCTACTGAGGAGATTCGGCGGTCGGGGAAAATTGGCGTTTCGGCATCTACGCGCAAGGGAGTGGATTAGTATCTGTCGGCTCACTTTGCTAGCTAATGAAAGGTTCGGCGATCCAACGCCGGTCGATAGCCATCCACCCCCTGCCGCGCATTCGCTTAGAACGACTCTTCTAGATCACTGAATCGCTCAGTCTCCCAAAACGTAGAATTTTAGCAGTCGCTCTACCTTGGCGCGCAGTCTGAGGCTGTAGAACGGTTCGGCGGCTAGGGAGGGAGTGATGCACACTAGGACGCCTTAGCGGCTAACTTGACGAGAAGACCTGATGTCTCGCATAGTATAGTCAAGATTCCTGCAAGTGATGGGCGTGTGGCGGAAGGGAGGGGCAAGAATCGGATCCCCACCAGAACAGCCCTTCTCGCCAGTTGTTAGGTACTCAGGGGGCAACGTTAGGACTCCACCAAAGGTCAGCCTGCCGCCGCGGCGCGGCGAGGAGAGACGAGCCGCGCGGCGTTTGCATCCATCCGTTACATTTCCATCGGTCTACTTTATTATTTGCGGGTGCTAAATCTGAGAACAGAGTGGGTCCGACGTTCAACTATTAGTATAAAACAGCGTCATTTACATAGTCATTCTATTAAAGGAATGTATTAACAATCCCCAAAACTTCACTCTGGGTTGAATACTTCAACAGGTTGAATACTTCTTTTGACTCAATTTTAATGTAATGTAAGGGCCTAAAATTTGTGTGAATGGGGAACGGTAAGTCATAAGTACTAGAGAACTGAAGATATGAACCATACGATGATTCTAGATAATCAATGACTCTGCTGTAACTCACTTTGCTACCGCTGGGCAAAATGAGGTCAGTCATCGACTGATGGGAAGACCTAATCCCCATGCCGAAAAAGAGTTGAAAAGAGCTAGAATCATGTATTCTGCCACTGAGCGATCGCCGCGCGCGGCGAGGCGAAACCTGGCAGCCGTGACCTCTCGTGAAGTCCCAACCTACACCCCTCAGGATGACATCATTGATTGGAAGGACGCCTTGCAAACGCTCCAATGCATGCCTTGTCACACGCCCTGTCATTTGCAGTGATCATACTGTACCTTTCTTCACTGAGGGGTGCCGCGTGTACGCGCGCGAGAGCGTGCGATAGCCCAAGTGGTACACTCCTTATCCCTGAGACGGAGTAGGCGTGGCTTTTGAGCATGGCATAGGACGGGTTTCTCGTGGGATACTTCAATTTGAAACAACTGCTATCTTGTTCTGTGTTAGATGTAGACATGATTACGACTGCTCCAAAATGACAATATCTCACGAAAACCTGGGCCGCCGCCATTTTAAAATCAAGTACGCAGCCACGCCTACCCGATCTCAGAGATTTCAAGTGTATACATATTGAAGGAAAGGAGAATTTTCGTGTCAGATTGCTCTTTTGGTTTATTAGTGTTGGTTGAGGTTGCGGCGGAGAAACGCCTGAAACGAAAGAATTCAAGACTGGACAAATGCGGTATACCTGAGGAGGAGCTGTACCTCATGCAGCAACAGTTGATCCAACAGGCTCGAGAACAGGATCCTGACCAGTTACGAGCACAAGCGGCTGCTGTACAGCCTTTACTTCCGGAACAACAAGTGTTCGCGGCGCAGCCAGCGCAGGATGATGATGAGTATGACATATGAATCGTTGGGGTTGACAACGTCATTTCTATTTTTGAAGGATATCTGGGCTTTTTGAGGTATCTGAATGAGCTGTCTTAAATCTGCACTTTTTTCTGAATATGTTCTCAATTTTTTTTCTATAAAAGGGTTTCACTGGAATGTAGCTAGCAAAACTAGGCTGAGCAGGGAACTCCAGCCATCGATATGCATACATTGCATACAGAAGGGAGTGCTAAGCGAGGCGAAGGACAAGTTTATAAGTTTGGAGGACTGGCGGTACACAGTACCTCAAAAGTAGCGCGTGAAATTGAATGTGTCGGTCCCGTGATTGCATACCGCTGGACGTACCGTAGGCCGGTTTAATTACCCAGGCTGCCTGAGGTACGTTTATTAGCATGTGTTGTAGCCCGCCTATTATCCTAAACTTATGATTCACTAGCCACATCATAGGGGGGCACACGACTGATGCCGTTTGGACGCGCTCAATTTTGGCTCCTGGCTCATTTATGAAGTGCCTAGGTCACCAAATCCGATGAAAGCTTGTATACAGGGGTAATTTAACATCCTGATTACGAATATGACATTCATTCTTGGCGCTGGCGCTAATGGAGGACACTACGATTATCTGCGCTCTGCTAAGGCTGAGCCCAGAAGATAATCGTAGTGTCCTCCATTAGCGCCAGCGCAAAAAATGAATGTCATATTCGTAATCAGGATGTTAAATTACCCCTGCATACAATTTTCATCGGATTAGGTGACCTAGGCACTTCATAAATGAGCCAGGAGCCAAAATCTTGCGCGTCCGAACTTCATCAGCCGGGGCACAGGACGCTGCAGCCCTTCTGGTTTGTCTGCAATCTCTCAGTGGAATAGTACTCCCCTTCATTTTCCCCCGCTCAGTCTTTGGAAAGCGCAGATACTAGAGTGGGTGCACTTGTCACTTGTCCACCCCCCCTCCCC